TCTCTTATGGAGAAGACGACTGGTCTGGTCGGGAGAAAAATACGATCGTTTGGCCGCCTTCTGCATTAGAGAAGACGATCGTCTGGTCGCATTCTCTAGTGGAGAAGACGACCAGATCTAGTTGTCTTCTCCAGTGAAGAAGATAGTCGGTCACGGTTGCTGAATTTTTATTTTTATTTTTAATTCAAATGGTCACCAGAATTTTTTATCGTTGGAATTGTCATCGGAATCTTGATGAACGGTTATTTTAGGTGAATTACCGGTTATTGGGTTTAGATGCACTAAAATGATAAGTTTGAGTATTTAATTGCACTTTTTTAAAGTTCAGGAGCCTAATTGCACTTTCGAATAAAGTTCAAGGACTTATTTGACCATTTTCCCTTATTAATAAGACTAGTCATTTCTATGTGCGATGCGCAAAAACATATGCCCAATATTTATATCTTTTAAAATAACTAACAAATCCCTACTAATTAAAATCTATATGAAATCAAATTTATTTATTATAATAATCCAATATATAATGTCCACAAATATTATTATCATTAAAGAATATAATAAAATATATGGTGGATCCATGTGCATGGTATTAAGGCATAGCAGCCACATGTGTTTTATTATATTTATTCTATTTGATTTAGTCTACTTGATTTAGTCTAATCTGTTATTATTTCTCTCCTGTAGTTTTGGTTCATAACTGTTCCATGCGTTGTACTGTGCTTTTCCAGTGAATCAATTTACATTATTCTCACTCTAATATGGTATCAGAGCCTAACTCATGCGAGATTATTTTTTTCGCAGGTGGTCTCTTCGGCAATTGGATACTAACAACGCATTTCTTCATGGAACTCTGTACGAGGATGCTTATATGGAACAACCACCGGGGTATCGGGATGCACAATACCCTTCTTCTATTTGTAAACTCCGTAAGGCGTTGTATGGCATGAAGCAGGCACCTCGTGCCTGGTATTTAGAACTTTCAAATTTTTTTATTTCGACAGGCTTCACTTGTTCTCGGGCGGATATTTCCCTATTCGTTTATAACTCCAATGAGGTTTTGGCATATTTTATGGTATATGTTGACAATATTATTCTCAGGGGGAATAATATCGGATTCCTGGACGACTTTGTATTAACTTTGGCTGTCAAATTCTCGTTGAAAGACCTAGGTCCTCTACACTATTTCTTAGGTGTTGAGGTGATCTCCACTCCTCTTGGTGTTTTCTTATCACAAGGGGAACTATTTGGTTGACATTCTTACTCGGTTCAGCATGGAGGGCGCAAAACCAATGTCCACTCCTATGGCAGTCGATGGGGTGTTGTGTGATGATTACAGTAAGGTGGTTGATGCCACTAATTACCGCAGGTTGATTGGGTTACTACAATACCTTCTTGTTACTCGGCCAGACATAGCATATGCTGTTAATAAATTAGCACAATTCATGCATGCGCCAGCTGCAGGACATTGGCAAGGGGCAAAGCGTATTCTAAGGTACTTAAAAGGTACGACCCACCATGGTCTGTTGTTAAAATTTGATGCACCTTTGTGCCTGTGTGCTTTTTCTAATTCAGATTGGGGTAACTTACGAGAGAAAAGGCGGTCTACAACTGATTATGTTGTTTATCTTGGGAATAATGTTATATCTTGGAAGTTCGCACGATAAAAGACGATGTCTCGGTCTTCTACGGAGGCAGAATATTGGGACTTAGCACACGTTGCTGTTGAGCTTGTTTGGGTTCAGAGTCTTCTACGAGGAGCCGGTGTTGTCTTTGTAGACACTTAAATTTTGATAAATATTGATTATTTATCAATATTAGTATATTTGAATATATTTAAAATATTTTGGATGATATTGATATTATCTAATTTGTTTAATTAGATAATATCAAAAGAGTTTGAACATATCAAAACTCTTCTATCCTACAGCTATAAATAGGAGCTTTCATTTCTATGTAATCACACACATCCTAGGAAAAGTGATATAAACATCTAGAAAAATATTATTCAAGATCACATAAATATGTGATACTAAAAGTAGAAGTTCCTCATCCTTAATGATCATGCCTATGCCTATGATCCAAACCTCCATTGAAGATCAAGTCATTTGAACCCGGAGGCCCTTCAAGAAGAACAAGCTATATATACAAGCCCTTCTTTGAAGATCAAGCCACTTGAAACCCGGAGGCCCTTCAATGGTGGAGTGTTCAAGGCATCAAATTGAAGAATCAGAGGGCCATCCAGAGACTTGGACCCACACCGCATTTGATACTCAATGTAACCCATAATTTTGAATTTCTAAATATATATTCAATTTTCTTTGTTCACAGTCTTATCTGAACCGCCGTTGCTGCTGTGTGACAACCTTGGGGCGACATACGTTTGTAAAAACTCAGTTTTTCACTTGAGAATGAAACATCTTGCTTTATATTATTTCTTTGTGCATGATATAGCGGCTAAAGGGCTCCTATCTGTTTGTCATGTCCCCGCCTGTGAGCAAGTTGCGGATATGTTAACTAAACCATTGGGTCGAGCTCTTTTTCAACAGTTCAGGTCCAAGATTGGTGTAACCGATGGTTCCTCCATCTTGCGTTTGCGTATTAAGGCCTATCAGCCACATGTGTTTTATTATATTTATTCTATTTGATTTAGTCTATTTGATATAGTCTAGTCTGCTATTATTTTTCTCCTGTAGTTTTGGTTCAGAACTGTTAGGATCCTCCTTATTTAAACCATGCATTGTACTGTGCTTTTCCAGTGAATCAATTTACATTCTTCTCACTCTAATACATGGTAACAATAATGAAAAAGATAACGGAAGTTATAACGGTATGTGTATTTTTGTCTAAGAATTTATATATTACAACTCTAAAAGCATAATGTACAAAATGATTAGCATTAAAAACATGGACATAAATGGGAGATATAACTTTGATTGAGATTTATTATGTTTTTAGATATAATAACAAAATAATCGTGAATACATTTTCATTTAAAAAAAAAAAATCAGTATACCATTCCAATAGCGTAATGCTTAAAAAATGACTAAAAAACATACATAATTAGATAACAAAAACTCTCATTCCCTCTTAATTTTAAAAATATTTTTAGTGATAGTATAAGTTTTAGGGAATAAAAGTACTATCTATTTAGGGTATTGTGATTACTTAAATGTTCAATCAAATGCCCGGGCAAGCTCCCAACCTCTTGGAGTGAATGGGGATTAGTCGAGTGGACCTGGACCGTTAAACAGATAAAGAAAGATCTGGATCACCTGGTGGTTTACACAAAAAAATCAAATGCAATTGCAATTAATGGTGTGTTTGGAACTCCGGAAAATGATTTCTGTAAATTATTTTCCGAGTTTCTAGTGTTTGTGAGAGGATGGAAAATTGAAGTCAAAAGAAAATGATTTCCGGTCAAAGGGAAAATAACTTGGTTTTTATGGAAAATGACTTCCCATTTTTTTTTTTTGGAGAAGTCATTTTCCGAATCCAACTACTTCTTCTTCCTGGCTTCTTCCGAGAATGCTTTCTTGGCTTTCTTTCGAGAATGCTTCCTCAGCTTTCTTTCGAGATGCTTCCTCGGCTTTCTTTCGCCATCCTCCGCTTTCTACCTTGACTGGTTTTCGACGAAACCAGATTGGTTTCCGTTTCTGCCGGAAACCAGTACAAACCAAACTGATTTCGTCGGAAACCAGTAGAAACTAGACTAGTTACTAGTTCTGGCAGAAACCAATCTAGTTTCTACTGGTTTTCGACGGAAACCAGTAGAAACCAATGTTTTTTTTTTTTTTTTTTTTTTGTTATTTGAAAAATAAATAGCTGGGCAAAACATAATTGTTGTCAAATCTTTTTAGTTAACAACAATTAAAATTTTAATTATACAATTCTGCTTATTTTCCATAAAATAAACCAAACACACAAAGACAGTTATTTGGAACGCAACCAAACACGAGAAATGAAAATGTTTTTTGGAGAATGACTCATTTTCCAAAAAATATTTTCAAAAAATCATTTTCATGGTTTCCAAACATACCCTAAGTATTTAAATATATCAAGTTTCTTGTGGTTTGATGGCATCATTGTTACCATAATCATGTTGAGCATGTATTACATGCCATTTGGTTGGGAAGAGGGAATTATGGGAAAAAAGAATTGCAATTTAGTGAGAAAAGTAAAGTGGGATTAAAACAGGAATTAAAATTACATGTAGGGAGGAATTGAATTATTGAGAATGAGAAGGGAAGAAATGATATAAAGACTATAATGTCCTTGTGTAATAATAATAATCAAGGGCAAAAAGTTTTTTTTTTCCTTTCTTCTTTTCCTTTCCACAGTGAATTGCAATTCATATGGGGGGTGTATGAATTACAATTCATTAAACTGAGGAAATTGTAATTTGGTTGAATTGCAATTCCCTCAAACCAAATACGATAGTTTTCACATTTGCTAAATTTTATTGTAATTGATAGATTGGATTGTAATCATACAAAAAAAAAATTAAATATAATATTTAATTAATTTTAATGTTTGACATCAAAAAGTATTTTCATTATTTTTCTTTGGTTTTTATTGGGCTTGTGCCCACATGGAATTGTTAAAGAAGAAAAACAAAGGAAGAAAAAAGAAAACAAGTGACAAAAGTCTTTATGTAGTTTGGAAAAAGAAGAAAAGGATTAGCACTTAGCACCGTTATAAAGTGTTGAACAAAAACTAAAAGCCAACTAGAATAATACAAAAGCAAAAAAAGAAAAAAAAAATCCAGCCTGTCAAAATCCGATACACCGAGGTCCACCGACACATCACGCACCCGCTCTTTTCATTGGCTATCGGGTGAGGCTGTCCAACCAGACACGGACACGTATGACTCCATGCCAACAAGCTTTCGCTACCTTAAAATATCTTTCTGCCAAAGATATATAGATTTCTGAACTCGCACTCCTGCTTCTTCTATACCTCCAACGCTCCAAAGCTCCTCCGCTTTTCGCACTTCCTGTTCGCTCCTAGGGTTAAGTCTCTTGATCGAGCTATCTAATTTGTTTTCTCTTGATGTTAATTTGGTTTTTTGATTTGTGTTTCGATTTTTTCTCTCAGGTTTTGCTAGTTTGTTGTGTGAATTTTGAATAAGGTTGTTTAGGCCGCTGAGTATACTTATAACTTTGTTTTCTTTCTTGCCTTTTTGAATGATAGGAAGTGAGAACTTCGGAAAGGGATTTTGTTTGATCTCGTTGGCGAACAGGTCAGTTTGCTGTTTTGCTCGTTTTAAGTAGGGTTGTTTAGAGATGAACTTCTTTACGAGGATTTAATTGTTTTATTTTCTATTTTTTTGTAATCAAAGGAAAATGCTTTCTGCTTCATATAATCATGTGTGTGTGGGTAGTGTTCTTTTGTTTTGTATTTCATTATGTAGTGTGTGTATTATACACAGCATGTTGGTCAAATTTTATATTTAGATGTTCCAACATGATCATATGTGTACTTGTACATATTTCGTTTCATAAATGAGTGAATGCTCTTTTTTTTTTCTTTTTTTTTTTGGAACCCACAACCCTTTCGGGTGTAGGTAAACCCCACCACAAGGACCTAAACCAGCTTAGGTTACACATAACTGATCCCCTCAAACCAAGAGGGCAAGGATGCGAACTCGTGACTTTGTGGTTACAAGTGTGGATGTCTTGCCATCTTGGCTGGGTGAGTAAAGAAGATGAGGCTTTTCATTTTCTTTTGAATAATGTCTTTGGGTTTTAAATGGCAAATTGAGATTTTTTATGTAGAATTTGGTGGTGAAAGAGTGTTAATTATTTATAGTTTTCATAGGTGGTGATTGGTGAAAGAGAGTTACCCATTGATGTTATTCTCTAAGCTGTTAAGGATATGCATGAATTCCATATTAGCTTTTTGTTTCATTCATCTTTTTTTACCTGAGAATTCTTTGACCAAGCTAAAAGGAATTTAGTATGATAGTTGTCCTAATTGGATTACTAGCTTTTGATATTAGGCGTGAAATTTAGTACAAAACAGGGCTTATAAATTCTGATATTATGTTATCATGGAGAGGTTTTTGCTATTGATAGATCAAGATTGTGAAGAAAGATATAGCTTGCAGGTTATGTTTGGAGGTGGAAAATATTAAAAAGAAGGGTTAGCATGAGTAGCAAATACTCTGTAGTCTGTAATGTATAAGAACTGTTGGTATATAATACTGGAAATTTTATGTTTATATCATGTCTTGGTGATGATAAGCATTAATAGTTTTTTACATGTGAGTCCACAGAGGTAAGCTTCTTGTATGTTTTCATGATAAATACAAAATTAAAAGATTTTATCGTTTTGGTACATGTTGAGCAAATAATAGGCATGGGTTATTCTTATGTTGTTCTGGACATTCAAAGATTTTCTCGTGTTGTGGAGATGGTAAACATTACAGTAATTTATTTTTGAAACATATGGATGGTTGGTTCTTCACATGTTGGTGATTGAATTATTGGTATGAATGTATTATATTGAAACATATTACCCTTGCAGAAGCTTGCATGCCCACAACCTATTTCTTCTATTTATCTGTTTGTTGAGAATATCCATGTTTCCCATCTTGGTTTGTGAAGAGTTGTATGTTCTATCCAGCTACATTAAATTTTGTGATATATACCCAGTTGGAGTAGGGGACTCTTTTTTTAACCCCGGTATACCACTATATAGTTAAACCACCTTATACGTAAGATCATTTTGGTAGATGCTAGATATACCCTGCTTTGTCAATCATATGCTGATATGCATTGTCAATTATTTTGTAGGAAAATTTGATGTCATGGAGCAAAATGATGCTGGCTGCCAAGCTCCTCAAGCCCCAATCCTTTGCGTCAATAATTGTGGGTTCTTTGGAACGGAAGCTACAATGAATATGTGTTCCAAGTGCTACAAAGACACGATGTTGAAGCAAGAGCAGGCAAAACTTGCTGCTACGTCTATCGAGAACATCGTAAATGGGGGTTCCAGCTCCAGCGGGAAGGCTGTACATTTCGTTGTGGGTGCAGAGGAAGACTCTGCTGTGTCCACGGTGGTGCCAACCCAAATCTCGTGTGCACCGCCCGAGAGTGACAATGGTGGTGAGAAGGCGAAAGAAGGCCCGAAAAGATGCAACACTTGCAGGAAGCGCGTTGGACTAACGGGCTTCAACTGTCGATGCGGGCATCTTTTCTGCGCAGTGCATCGCTATTCTGACAAACACGACTGTCCTTTTGATTACCACAAGGAAGCACAGGATGTGATTTCCAAAGCCAACCCAGTTGTTAGGGCCGAAAAACTAGACAAAATCTAAAGGATTTCAAGAACGCAATGATTTCTTTTGGTTTTGTAAACTGCATACCCACCCTTGTTGTCTTCTCCATGTTATGAGATGCATAAAAGATTAAGGGAGACTGAAGGCAAGCGTTGATATGGCATCAAGCGGATCTGAGGAATACAATGCCCGTGTTAAGCAGTCCAGGTATTATGTTATGGTTCTGTTCCATCTGCCGTGCTTGTGTTTTTTTGTGCTTTGGTTTGTCGGACACTAGTGTGATTTCTCTCTGAATGTAGCAGCTCCTAAAGCCAATAAGGAGAATTATATTTAAACTTAGTTTCTCAGTCCTATTCAAATTTTATTTAATTGCAAGTTACTACATGATGTCCTGGCATTTAGTTTCTGCAAAAGCAAATCTCTTAAATTCAACTTACAATCTGGTAATCAGCTGTTACCTTTCTACTTTTTTATGCCTCTTTAAATCTGGGACCAGAATCAACTGTTCAACTTAGTAGAGGCCCAGACAAAAAAAAAAGTTTGAATCTCGATACCAAGGGCCGTTATGCCCTGTTTGGTATGCAGGAATGGGAATTCCTTTCCAATGAAATTCTTTAGCAATCAAGTTAGAGTATTTTGAATGAGGTAAATCTTAACATGTGATTGGAGCAAGGGTTTATTAGAGATATTCAATTGTTATGTTGTTGAGACTTATCTTAATTTGACATTTGCACTCTTGAGCTATGCCTGAGGCTAGCGGGGCCACACTAGTTATGGTTGAATGGGTGGTTTAAACCAACTTCCACATCAATAAAAAACCATTTCTAGTTTTTGGGCTGACAAAAACTAAATAAAAACTACTGATATTGGTGCTCTAAGCTGCTAGATATGGAGATGTTTAATATGTTGATAGTATGGTAGCTCTAACAGTGAGCATGGTACATGAGTACTTTAGTGGTCGAATTGCATTTTGTATGATAGCGGAAGCGTAGCCATGTAGATCTCTAGCCATAGTTGATGTTCTTGTAATGTTGCCTCTTAACGGTAGACCGTTAGTCATGTTTTGCCTCAGACCTGACTCAAAACCCTAGATGGTGTATTGGTGTCTACTGAGCAGTTTGAGTACCGTAATTGAATGTGCTAACATCAATCATCCTGTATCCCATCAATCCAGGATTATATTAGGCACAGAGTTTGGTTGACTAACAACTACTAGTTATTAAGTCCAACCAGACCACTTAATAAGCCTAGTCAACTTGCACCACTTAATTAAGGCCCTAATATATAATATATAATATATATTATTAGGGAAAATCTTACATTCTCTCACTTGGTGCAAGTACTAGCACAACCATCATCAAAGAACAAAACACACGAATCATAGTGATATGTCCTCTATTTAATCAGAGTAGTATCCATTATGGTCACATGCATTTTAATTCTCCAACTTAGGTCCTTTATGAACAAACCCTATATTTATTCTCGGTACCTTAAGGGATGTCTCTCAAAATACATTATGTGCACAACTGAAAGAGAAAACACATCCAAATTGTACAAAAGAGTACACTGTATGATCTCTAAAACTTTATAAGCATGCCTTAAGTAGAGATCTCTTCATGTTAGCATAATGCTAACTATATTCCATGATTTCTTTATAAGTTAACTTTAAGTACTATCTCTAACAGCTAAGAGTTTGGAGTTGACACGTCTGTCACTCCCACTCATCAAAAATAGCCAAGAAGCATTCCAATAACTTAGACAATAAACCAAACGTCTAAGTCCATAAATTTGGAATCTTAATCATACACCATAACTTTCCAAATAACTTCAATGTTCATTTTAAATGAATTGAATATAATGAGTCTTACTTATATGTCCCACAAAATTGTTTTGAGCCTTACAACTGAAATGGCCCAGGACCAATTTTGAAGAAACTAAAGACTATTAATTACTGAAGAATTTATTAAATGACAGTGCACCACAAATTAAATGTTTTTGTTCTAATAAATTCCTTGGTTACAACATTTTCATAAATATGTTGCACAACCAAATGTTCAATAATTTGAACTTATGAATTTATTTTCCTTGGTTACGTTCAGTGGCCAATTTGAACCTTATTCTTTTTTTTTTTTTTTTTTTTTTAGTTTCTCCCAAAATAGTGTCATCTTTCCAAAATTGAACATAACTATTACTATACATTAGTGTCATCTTTCCAAAATTGAACATAATTATCACTCTACATTTCTCAATTTACCTTTTTGACTTTTCAAATTTCTAAAGGTAAGTACAATTGTGTTTTGTATAGATAACACTTACTTTTGAGGGGCAAAATTGGAAAGTTAGTAACATGTGTAATGCTGTATTAAAAATCATGCAAAAAGTAAATGAGAGAATCAATTAGGGACATCGGGAGTAACATAGTTAGCTTATTAGCCAATTTTAGTTTGTTTGATTACTATTAGCTATTTGACTTTGTTAAATAATCAATATGAATGTTTGATTAATTATTTTTTTAAACAACTTATTGCTCTAAAAAATTATTCAAAAAGCCATTCAAAGCAGCTTTTTTGAGAAAATCATTTGCATGTAATCAGTTATCAATTAACAGCTAATTTATCAAACGTCTTTCTACAATCAGCTAATGACATCAACTAGTCAAACTTACTAATCCAATCAATCATTTTATATATAATTAGCTAACAATTAATTTATCAAACATCTTTTCTTTTTACAATTAGTTATATTATTAACTAGTCAAACTCACTAATCTAATTAATTAACAACTATTTACCAAACACCTCCATTATATCATAACATTTGTAACGCGTTACATTTTTAAAATAAAATGTTAACTCATCTTTAAAATATAATATAATAATAACAAATATATTATAAAAATAAGAGAAGTGAATAAAAGGGTCCCAGAAGTGCGAAAGTACGAATTGCAAGCATTTCAAAGTTTAGAAAGACTTGCTTGAAATGAAAAAGAAAAAAAATTAAAAATTACGGAGTAAAAGGAAAAGACTTGTTAATGAAAAAGAGACTCCTAGCTCTGAACTATGATATACAGTTTATCTCAATAGATATATTATCAATGGATAGAAGAATGGAAATATATATTTAGGTGGTGTGTAAGACAATTCAACTGGTGTGAGTCTTGGGTACGTTTGACCAAATCATTAAAGAAGCGTAAGTCTCTCCAAAGAATTCAGCTTCAAATTTGTGAAACAGTCTGCGAATCGTTTTCTGTAACATTCAACAATAATTGTTGACTATAAAGAATGTTTGACAATTTCAGTCTATGATTAATGAATTAGCTTCTTTATTTTCAAAAAGAAAAAAGGGAAAGACTTGTAAACCTACCCCTTTTACTTTTATAGGCGTCGATTGTAAGGGGGCATGGCTTAGGAACGGAGCCAAGATTATATGGGAGGGGGGGGGGGGGGGGGGGGGGCAATCACGATTTAAGAATGAACAATTAAATATATTAATATTCATTTAATATATACCAAAATAGATCATTATATTACAAATCTATTAAAATTTAGAACGTCATATCACTACGAAAATCATCTATAATTAAATCTATACTAAATTGTTTTGCAATTTGATTTTCAATGTACACTAACAAACAATCATTAAGAAATTGATCATCCATCTTGTTACGAAGTGTAGTCTTGACTACTTTCATGGTAGCAGAAGATCGTTTTGTAGTAGCAGTAGATAGGGAAGTGTGAGAATGAGAGTTACTATTCTGAACACAAGAGTATAGATGTTCAATTTTTTAGTTTTTACGATTTAAGAATGAACAATTAAATATATTAATATTCATTTAATATTTACCAAAATAGATCATTATATTACAAATCTATTAAAATTTAGAACGTCATATCACTACGAAAATCATCTATAATTAAATCTATACTAAATTGTTTTGCAATTTGATTTTCAATGTACACTAACAAACAATCATTAAGAAATTGATCATCCATCTTGTTACGAAGTGTAGCCTTGACTACTTTCATGGCAGCAGAAGATCGTTTTGTAGTAGCAGTAGATAGGGAAGTGTGAGAATGAGAGTTACTATTCTGAACACAAGAGTATAGATGTTCAATTTTTTAGTTTTTACCAACCATTGGCAGAGACCATAAATACTTTCTAGTGCTCTAAAATCAGGAAGTTGTTGCACATGTTCAAAATGTTCAAGTTCTTAATTGTAAAATCTCATAATTAGGGGTGTTAGTGAACAGAGCTTTCGACAAACTACTCGTGTTCGTGTTCGGTAAGTGTTCGTTTATGTTCGTTTGTTAAGGTAAACGAACATTAACAAACAAAATTTAGAGTTTGGTTAATAAACGAACAGTGCTTAAACAGTTGTAAGCTCGTTTGCTAAGAGATTGTGAACAAGTTCGTTTGTGTTCGTTTAATAACGTTCGTGAACAAGCTCGTTTATGTTTGTTTAATAATGTTTGTGAACATGCTCGTTTGTGTTCGTTTAATAATGTTTGCGAACATGTTCACAAACATATGTATGTATGTATGTATGTATGTGTGTGTGTGTGTGTGTGTGTGTGTACACACACACACAAACACATAGACATGGGTAATTAGGTAATTAAACAAGTAACTTTCATTTACTAGGGTTTTCCAACTTCAGATCTTCCTTCATTCGTAGTCACAAGTCTTCACTCTTCACCGCTCAATCATTCATCCCGTTTTCTCCGCTCAGACACTCACACCTCCACTGCTACTCCGCCATCACCAAGCGCCGTAGCCACCTGCCAAGCCAACGCCGTCCGTCGTAGCAACCACCCCAGCCAACGTCGTCCGTTGTAGCCACCACCCCAGTCAACGCCGACCGTCGTAGCCACCACCCCAGCCAACGCCGACAGTCGTAGCCACTAGCCCTCCGTCGTAGCCATCACCCCAGCCAACGCCGACCGTCGTAGCCACCACCCCACTTCGCCATCATCAAGCACCGTAGCCACCTGCCCAGCCAACGCCGACTGTCGTAGCCACCAGCCTTCTCTAATTTTTTATTTTATTTTATTTTATTATTATTTTTTTTTGTAAATAGTAGTGTTTCTTACTTTAGTAAAGAGTTAATTTCAGCAATGGTCCTTCGACTATAAAATTTTTCAAAATTAGTCATCAACTTTTAATTTGGACAATTTACGTCCCTTGATTTTCAATTTTTTTCCAATTGAGGTCCTTTCGTCAAATTACGGTAAAGTGGACTTTAAATGAAATGGTAAAGTAGTCATTCCACCTGCCTAATGTATAATTCTTCGTATTTCTCACTTGTATGCGCGACTTCGGACATCAGATTCACTTAATTGCTTAGTCCCTAAATCCACTCGAAGAACAAAATTCCATTAGGGATTAAGCAATTAAGTGAATCTGATGTTTGAAGTCGCGTATACAAGGAAGAAATACGAAGAATTATACATTAGGCAGATGAAATTATTACTTTACCCTTTCATTTAAAGTCCACTTTACCATAATCTGACGAAAGGACCTCAATTGGAAAGAAATTGAAAGTCAAGGGACGTAAAGTGTCTAAATTAAAAGTCAGGGACTAATTTTGAAAAATCAATATAGTCGGAAGACCATTGCTAGAATTAACATTTTTAGTAAACGGACATTGCTTTTTCCTTAGATTTTTATCTGCAAAAACCTTGAAAAAAAAATTACAGAAGGTGCTCTTGGAGTGCACGCGCCCGCTAGGTTGCTTAAGAAATGACAATATTTTTTTAAAAAAATTTGTCAGATTTTTTTTTTCTTTTTCTTTTTCTCCCTTTTTTCCCTTCCTCTTCTATCTTCTAATTGACATTTAAAAAAAAAAAAAAAAAAAAAAAAAAAAAAAAAAAAAAACTAAAGACTATTGGAGATGCTCAACCACCTTGGGTATGCAAAGATTGAATTTTTACTACAAATTTTTTTTTTTTTTCATGTTTGGAATTTTCAAATGAAGTTTGATCAATGAGTAAAATTCCAGTAATGCAGGGTTTGATCCTGAAATATTTCGCATGGATCCATATGGAAATGTTCTGTACTATCATGCTAATTCAGCTTTACCCCCTGGCATGGCATATTGATCATTGGTTTCCTTGCTCAAGTAATCTAATTGCCTTTGGATTCTATATTTGAGTCTGAAGTTTCCCTTTATAGTTATCTGTTAGAGAAATTAAATTCTGTGATTTTATGGCTGTTTTTTGGGTTTAACTGTTACACTGCCAAGTTTGTAAGAAAAAGCATAACCAGCTAGAATTTCTCATACCTTAGCTTGGTGGGATGATCTTCAAGTTGGCTTATCCATAAACCAGTTGTTATCCATCTTTGGCTCGAAGAATTCGGATTTCAGATGAGCTGTTCTGCTGAAGAAGCAAATGCATGGAGAACTTGTAATGGATTGGATTTATTATATTGGAATTTCTACGATTGTTTTTGTTAGGAAATAATATTTGTGGCTCAAAATGTGGGTATCCAATGAATGAAAAGAATTTTATTGTTACGACATGATGTGAACATTACGAGGAGAATTTGAAAGAAAAATAATACTCCGTAATATTATTCTAGGAATAAAGTTACCAACCCGTACGGGCTTAGATTAATAGTGAGTTAATACCCAAAATGGTCCCTCGACTATGTTATAATTACCAATTTGGTCCTCAACTACCATTCTTACCTAATTAAGACCTCAACTTATGTAACTTTTACTCAATTAAGTCCTCAACTATACAATTCTTACCCAATTTAGTCCTCAACTATACAATTCTTACCCAATTTAGTCCTCAACTATACAATTCTTACCCAATTTAGTCCTCTGTATTAATTTGACTGTTTGTTGACTGTCAAAAGTCGGGATAAAATTATAATTTTACAAGATTTCTCCTTCCTCTCCATTTGGCAGCGCCAAACCATGCAGCAATCCACTCCGATAAGATTTCGATCGTCAAAAAATCGTTGGAAATCAAATTCATGGGCTATCTGATGCATAACCACTACTTCGATACTCACAGGTTTAGAACCCAACCGGAGCTTATTGCAACATGGTTTGGCGCTGCTAAATGAGGAGGAAGGAGAAAACTTGTAAAATTATAACTTTATTTCCACTTTTGACAGTCAACAAACAATCAAATTGACAAAGGACTAAATTAAGTAAAAATTGTATAGTTGAGGACTTAATTGGGTAAGAATGATAGTCGAGGATCAAATTGGTAATTACGACATAGTCGAGGGACTATTTTGGGTATTAACTCATTAATAGTTTAGTGGACAATATTTAAGAGAAGAGGAATAAAGTTTCGAGATCAAATTTTTTATAAAACGCTCTCACTGTATGAAATTCTAAACTCTCTTTATTTATTTATTTATTTATTATTATGACTTGATTGAACTCATTCTGCGTTAAAATATTTATGAATTAATTTTATTTTTTGGCATAGATTTATAGTTGGCATTCACTTTTAGATTTTTTTTTTTTTTCTTTCAAATCATCATTCTTTGGTCTTGTCCCTAACCCAAAGGGCCCCCACACTCCGACCCGGCAGAATTGTAGCATGACCATTTTTGGTCATCTATCAACAAAATCGTTTTAAATTTCGTAAAATACAAAGACATTTAGCTCTTCAATTATGATTTTTTTTAGAAAAAATAAAAATAAAGATATAGCGGGTTAAGCCACTTTGTATAAAAGTGGTCGAAATGGTCTTTTATTTAACGATATTTTAATAATTTTGTTGACGGAGGACAAAAATATTTATGCCACAATAATACTATAACTAAAGATAGATGTTATGAAAAATGACTAAAAGTGAATTGTCATCTATAAATTTAGAACCAAAAATAGAATTAACTTAAACAAACTATTGACTCTATTACAAGATAGTATATGTTCTATACTTTCTCTAAAGAGTAAATACCAGCGGAGGTTTTCTGACTTTGGTGGCACTGCCACTTTTAGTCCTCAACTTTTAAATCAACCACTCTTAGTCCTCTTACTTTTTGTTTCTAACCATCTATGGTCCTTCCGTTAAACTTGACCATCTAATGTCGTTTTCTCAAGGATAATTCAGTCCTTTCATAATTAATTTATTAATTATTATGTTTGCCGAGTCATACCAAGTATCCCGACGGCGTTTTGACACAACTTTCGTACCAACTTTTGTACGCCATTTTGATTCACGAACTGGTTTTGTACACGTTCATAGCTGGGAAACCATTGTTTGGCTATTCAAGTTTAACGAAAGGACCATAGATGGCTAGAAACAAAAAGTAAGAGGACTAAAAGTGGTTGATTTAAAAGTTGAGGACTAAAAGTGGCAGTGCCACCAAAGTTGGAGGACCTCCGTCGGTATTTACTCTTCTCTAAATTACTGTAGCTCAAAGAGTCAATAATCCACTACCAAAGTTCAATCATGTGACACTCTCTCAAAAGAGTGCCACAGAAGTATCATTTAAGCACAAAATGATTCTCCAAACCCTTATTTATTAATCAATCAAGCTTAGCTTTATCCTTATTCTATTAGATTTGGCACACAAATCATACGATTTTAGTGTCTTAGGAACTGTAATAAAATAAGGGGTGAGACTTGAGAGAGAGAGAGAGAGAGAGGCGGTCAGTTTGGGCGGCTGGAAGCTGGTGGAGCCTGCGAGGTAAGAGCCGTGCGACGATTCTTTCTTTGCTCATCAGCACCGTGTAACGTGCGGGGTTCGCCATGAATTCTCATAATTGCCCTTCCACGCGGAACTAACAAGCTAAGTCAAAATGAATTCTAATTAACTTTATTATTAATATACTTCCTAAATTTTACTCCCTTATGTGACACACTGACAGGTTATTTTTTTTCATGTGAGTACTAATCAAGATTTTATATATATAAATAAAGTTGAGAATAAAAAAATAGGAGTGCATGTAGTATTTTTCTTTACTATTATGATTATGAAAAATTCAACAATGTCTATGCTTCGTTTCGAATTCTAAAAGCAATAAGGTAAGATTCAATTGTTAACTATGAATATTCAATTTGTTACATAAAAACGTTGACAATATTTAATTATTGCTTTTAACAAGGAGTCTTGGTTGGTTCAGAAATTTATAAATTTATTTAGAATTTTAAATTTAATTTTAATAAATTAATGTTTTTTCTTAATTTCTTTATTTTTTAAAGGGGAAAGGGTCAAATAGGCCCTCGAACTTTAGCTTAAAAGTCAATTAGGCCCCTAAACTTTTTAAAGGTGCAATTACACCCATCAACAATTCATTTAAGTGCAATGAAGCCCAAAAATAAATTAATGACTTGCTATCACAGGTCATTAGGGTTCAGGCCACCTTTCGGTGAATTTTTAGGAAAAAAAAAAAAGTGACCTGCGAAATTTTCGACAAAAGAAGTGACCGGCGAAATTTTCGGCAAATCTGGATCGCTTGCTGGTCACCTTTTTTTTGTCGGTTGTGTGTGTGTGTATATATATATATATATATATATATATATATATATATATATATATATATATATATATATATATATATATATATATATATATATATGAGATCTTATGCGGAGGAGGTCTCAGATGAAACATGTGGTGAGATACGAGCAGTTGATCAAATTTAGATCAACAGCTCAAATCAATGAAAATTAAAAAAAAAAAAAAAAGTGTGCGTCTTAGAAGTTGGCAGAAGCAAAGTGTAAAACTAACGCACCTTAAGTGTTACAAAGACGCACCTTAAGTGTTAAAATGACGCCCCTTAAGTGTTAAAATGACGCACCTTAAGTGTTAACATGGCACACCTTCAGTGCTAAAATGGCGCACCTTAAGTGTTACAAAGACGCACCTTAAGTAGTAAAATCACGCACCTTAATGTTAAAATGCCGCACTTTAAGTGTAAAACTTATGCACCTTAAGTGTATAACTGACGCACCTTAAATGTTAAAATGATGCACGTTTTAAAAGGATGCACCTTAAACTTCAGAATGACGCACCTTAAATTATCAAGTGTAAAACTGACACATCATTAAGTGTTAAAATGATGCAACTTATGTAGTAAAACGATGTTTCTTATGCACAAAAAATACGTACCTTAAGTTTCAACAATACACAAAATAACAAAAATACTACCGCATTTTTAAAACATTATTCAATCTAGACATTTAATTTTGATAAGATTAACGGCTATCGTCCACCCTCAATCAAATCTATAACCTTTTTTCCCCAAAAAAATCTAGAACCTTATACGACCCAGAATTGAGATCGCCAACAATACAAAAGGCACGGGGGCAAAAGCGTCCACCTATAATTTGCCAAAACGCGGCGGTCCCTAATCTCATGAGTCATGAGGCCATTATTTCATCGCCATTACCGACCTTTATCCCCCCTTAAAACTCCTCCTCACCCCGCCATTTCCTCAAACCCAATTCTTATTTCTTAACCCTCATCTTTATCATCTCTTTGAAATCTCAACTCTCTCTCTCTTCCTCTTTCTAATCGCTGTTTATTAATCTGCTTTTTTGATAATTTATTGTTGCGAAAATGGCTCAGAAGACGGAGAAAGAGGAGACGGAGTTCAAGGTCGTCCGCGAGACTATTGCGCCGTGCGTCAACAACTGCGGCGTTACCGGAAACCCTGCCACCAATAATCTCTGCCAGAAATGCTTCAACGCCGTTTCCGCCTCAACGGCGACAATTCCTCATAATTTCTCCGAAAAATCTCCTAGATCTACCGTCCGGAGATCGTCGCCGGAAACAACGCGTCCAGGTGTGAGGAAACAGGAGGATTGGAGGTTAGCAGGCGAAGATGAAGCCAAGGTCGATAGTTCTCCAGCTCCGCCTAGGAGAGAGGTGAGCCGGTGCTCTGGTTGCCGGAGAAAGGTCGGATTAACCGGATTCCGATGCCGTTGCGGCGAGCTGTTCTGCGGCGAACACCGGTACTCTGACCGACACGACTGCTCCTACGACTACAAAGCTGCTGGCCGAGAGACGATCGCCCGAGAAAATCCAGTCGTGAAGGCTGCTAAGATCATCAAACTTTAAACTAATCTATACATAAACTTGGATCTATTCGCTGTCGTTGCTGATAATCGAAGGAATTATCTCGCTCAACGAAGAAATGAAAGAAGAAGTGGGGAGAAATTCGAAATTAATTGTCCATTAAAAAAAACAAATACGTTTCTATAGTTAGTGATTAATCTTTATTAGTTTTCTTGTTTTTCTTTGAATAATAGTAGTAGAATTTAAAAAGGGAAATACTGTGATTTTACTATTGGTAATTAATTTTAGTAATTTGGATTGTGACGTGAACCTATGAATTGAAATTTTATCCATCTTCCTCAAGTCGGAATGTTGTCGTAAATCCATGGACTGGGGCTAGAAATGTCATCCGGACTAATGGAGTTTTGGTTTCCTGAGGGTGGTATGAATTATGAAAAGGAAAATGAGTTAATATTCAAAATAGTCTCTACTATAGTGAATTATAAATTCGTCTTCGATTATTAATTGAATTTAATTAAATTTTTAACTTGTTAATTTTTATTTAATTAAATTTTTCGTCTTTTTTTTTTGAAAGCCAAATGAATCAGATTGTATTAACCAGCATGGGCTCAATAAAAGAAGAAGGTACATCCCTCCAGACAGAACGTTCAACTATAGCAGCTACATGTTTAGATAAGGAGTGTGCCACTTTATTGACATCCCTATTCACAAAGCGTACTACAGTACCCGGCAAAGCATTTTAATTAACCGTTTACAAGACACAAGTGTGTAACCAAAATAATTACGAAACGAATTAACATTCTTAAGACTTGAAACCAGTACCGAAGAGTCCGTGTAAATTACGCCACCTGAATATCCGTTATCTTTCATCCAAGAGAGGGCTTCACACATCGCCATAGCTTCAGCCAGAAGGGGTTCATACGGACACTCCATAGGTCCGCTTACCGCTGCCACAAATGAACGATCACCCCCGAAAACCACAAACCCAAACGCGGGTGTTCGTTGCGATCCATGGAAACCAGCATCAATAAAGCAAGAAAAGGAGAATGGCATGCTCGAGGGAGGGTGCACCGGTGATGTCTCGACCAGCCTGCCATTCACCACAACCCGCCTACCTTCGCACTCCGTCCAAGCTGTCCAATATATAATTTCATACACCTTTCGTCTTTTTCTTCACCTGTTGGCTAAGTATAATCAGAAATCAAAATCCCCCAAGGCAAGGCTAGGAGTAATTATGCCCTGGAAACGTGTTCACCATGAATGGTGAACACGAGTCTAAACGGCGTCGTTTTCACGTAAAAAAAAAAAAAAATCACTAATGTAGTATTAACGGTGCGTGTTTGGTCATATTATGAATTTTCTGTTATAAGATTATAAATATACTGTAAATTCATAATCTCATAACAGAAAATTCATAATCGCATAAAAGAAAAACATTTATTAAATTATGAATTTTCTGTTATGAGATTATGAATTTACTGTAAATTCATAATCTCATAACAGAAAATTCATAATCTCATAACAAAAAATTCTTAATCTCATAACGGAAAATTCATAATATCATAACAGAAAATTCATAATCTCATAACAAAAAATTCATAATTTATGAATGTTGAAGAAGCTTGTGCTACAAAGGAGCAGCCATGGTTTCAGATGGGAATGTGTAGGCATGATTCCAAAGTGAATGTGTAAGCATGGATTCATAATTTATGAATGTCCGAAATCATTGCTTAGCTCAAATTAAAGTGAAATCGCGAAATGTGAAAATGAAGAAGAAAAGTCACGGGATTAATTAAGAGAAAAAAAAAAAGAAAAGAAAAAGAAGATAACGGTGTACTAACACCGTTGGGACCGTGTTCACCATGGATGGTGAACGCGGTTCCATGGCATAACGATTGGCAAGGTGGTACATAGTCTTGGCAATTATGAACATGATCCGTTAACACGACACAAAATAAGACATGAAAATAATGAATAAGTGTTTAGTCTTTACGTATCTCGGGTTGTTAATGAGTTGACCCTTTAAAGACCCGTTATGTTGCGTGACTTAACGAGTAAACTCATTAAACCTATTAAGAACCGGTTAATCTGTTAATATTATCGTGTTAACCCGTTTACATGAATCCGTTTGTATTTATAACTCGTTAAGAACCATTGTTAATTTGTTATTTAAGTAAAGAACCATGCATTGTCATGAATGAGATTACAAAAGATATCACATCAGGCCAAGATCCTACACTAATTATTGATGTTCAACAATCTGAATTTTGAATTTTTATTGTGTTCAATTTTATTCTAAAAATTAGTATGAACTTCTTTAATTATGATTTTTGATGTTATTTTATCATTTTATGAATGTTATAAATTGAATATTGTTTTTAGTTTGTTTGATGGATTGAATTGTAGATTTTATTTCTTTTTTTGTATAATTTAACTTTAAATTTTAGTTTTTTTAATCTATTAATAGGTTTAACAGGTTTAAACGAGTTTCGGGTCATATCGTGTCGACATAACCCGAAATCAGTTAACAAAACGTGTCTATTGTGTCAACCCGTTAACAAATTGTGTTTGTGTTAAAAATTTAAACCCATTAATCTTAACGTATCGTGTTCGTGTTTAGCCTTATCGTGTTCGTGTCGTTATCGTATTGACCCGTTAACAAACTCATATACACAAATTACCATGTCTACTAGTACTAGTCGTGAAAGTAGTGATCAGGTTTGTTTTCTCTTCTTATTTGATAGTCGAAATTGTGTGTGTAATGCATGTGAAGTTATTAATATAATGTGAGGTATATGAATTCACTAGTCTTTCTAGGACCGTTGGTCCCTCTTGTTCACCAAAAAAATAAAATAATGTGATGTATATATGTGTAGGAAAATATTACATGTACTTTCATTTCTTTCTTTTAATTTGTACTTCTTCTCATAAATTTTTGATATATACATATTTCTTGGAATTCATATGATAAAACTACTCAATCTTTGTTTGTCATGTCATGAAGTATAAGTGAGGAATAATAGGGATCATGAAGTGGTGGTTCGTACATATGTTTTATGGGGACCAGTGGGTAGTCCATTTCAAACAAGCATGGGAATCATGCATTAGCTTTTTTTTTTTTTTTTAAGAATAAAAGTTTTCATTAGTTATTGAGAATTTGATATCATGCCTCAAACTATCTAAAATGACAGCAAGCAGAGTACAAAATCAGACATAAAACAAGTTATTCTAGTTAAGTTATTTGCAACTTTATTAGTTGAATGTTTAACAACCGAGAACACCACAAAAGGGATATTTTGTTAGAATTTTTAGCATTTTAATAACTTTCATTGCACTATACGAAAGTTGTTTTAAGAGCTTAAGTGTAATTAAACTCTGGATGCTTAATTAGTGAATTGGGATTTTAGCACATTTGTGCTTTGCTTTCGTTGCATGGATGAAAGTTGTGCACGAATCAATAGTGCTTAAGCTTTGGATTCCAAAGCAGCTCATTTCGTGCTGTGAATTTGGTGTGCACGAGTCAATGCTATATGCATTGTATAAAAACACACACAAATTAGGTACGCATCACCAAAAACACACCATTAGGTGTGAGTAAAAACACCATACAGTGTTCGGAAATACACCATTGGGATGTGTTGAGTTATATGGTGTATTTTTTGCATATGTTGTATATTTTTTACATTTTGGTTGCATTTCATTATGGTGTGTTTCCCTTACACTGTTGGTACATGTTGTTAACACTGTTGGTGTATTCTGAAATTCCACCGCACCGCCGCACGGGAAGACTCCGCCGCATTTGAACTTTCTTCTATATATATATTGTTGGGGAAAATCGCAATGTCAACGCACGATCTGGAAGCCTTTTAAGAAGCACGGACACTATGGGTGTATGGTAGAAAGAAAATCTGTGCCGTGTTATAATAACACTACCTTAAAAGCGTTATTTGCCCGGTAACGGTGCAATTAGAACCCTGGCACGCTTTCGACAGGCTACACAGACCTACTACGGATAGCTTGCACTAGCAATCACGTAAGCGAACCTCACTATTGCTCAGACGAAGGGAGGGAGAAGGAGAATAGAATAAATGACTCGAATTCAAGGTGTGTTTTGAAACGATGTTGGGAGCTGCTATTTATAGTAAGCAGCCCCTCCATCCCACCCACATGATGGACACAGGGTTTTGTCCACATTTTAGCGCCTTTGGCGCTACTCCTTACATAGGAGCGCATTGTGCACTACCATGTAATGAAATGGGTTTCCCATTTCATAATCCAATGACAAAGTCAAAGGGGTGAGGTGGATATGGAAGCTTTCATCTTTTAATTTTCCCAACAATCCCCCACAAATTTAAAGAGGAAAGGAAAAAGGTAAGGTCTGAGCAATACAAATGAGTTGATCTTAATGTCAGTGTTTGAGAACTTGAACTGACACGTAGTGACACTGAGTAATTTTCTTTCCGGGAGTGATGTGAATCTTGAACTAACCGGTTAGATAAATTTTGAACTCGAATGCACACACCAACTCAAAAAGCAGGTTCTACAAAAGTCAAACTCTTTGACTTCTTATGAACACCCTTAGTATTAAAGAATGTTACGTCTGTCTCAAATATGGACTTCTACCCTGTCAAAGTCTATCACAAAATAGACTTTTAACTCTGACAAGTCTTACAACATTATAGATTTTTTCCGTCTTGTGAAGTCCATCTCAATACAGACTTTTAACTCTATCAGGTCTATCTCGGTATAGACCACCATTAAAGGCTTATAGAGTAGTTAAAGACATAAATCAGTTGTAAGTCTTTTCTTTCTATCATAGGCTGTTATTTGCAATACAAACGACAGTTTGTGAATCACAATGAAGGAAGGTGTTGGACACCCCCACAATTACACGGTTATCACCATGTTTCTTAGCCACTCAGCTTCTTGGGGTAACCCCATTATCTTTCATAAGAGGCGGTTAGCCCTTTTCTACTCAAGTTAGGGGCCTCTTTAGGTCTATCTCAACATAGACCATGGTAGCCCTTTTCCACTCAAGTTAGGGATCTCTTTAGGTCTATCTCAACATAGACCATCCCAATTGAGTATAAGAGGCTAAACTTCCAATGTGGGACAACATGGATAGGCAAAAGGAAGCCTTTCCTTTTAAATGCTCCCAACAATCCCCCACCATTAAAGGGACTTAGGATGATGCTGTCATTGCCTGACAACGATCAAAACAAATTTTCATGCCAGTGTATAAAACTTGAACTGTCATATAGTGACATTAAGTACTTCTCTAAACGGAAGTGAATTTGATCTTGAACTCATCGAATAGACAAAGTTTGAACTTAACGCACTTA